GGGGGGGGGGTGGATCTGGGAATTACTAATTGAGTGATTAGTTGAGAAAAGAGTGGAGAGAACCAAGACATCTCGAATAGCCTGGAATTGTCGTTTCATTTCTGTTACTCTATCAATACAAAATTATGTTCAATACAATCAAGCTCAAATCTACTGTTCTACAATAATCTGCCTTCTACATTTCATAATCATACATTTTTCTAGTCTTCTAGTTGATCAGCAACTTCTGAGGTCCAGCAGATCATCAACAGCAACAGGTTCCTATCACATATTTCCTCAGTTGTAGTTGAAATATTTCAGTCATAATAAATAGAAAAGTTGCAGGTGCATTAGCAAGGCCAAAATGCATCATTGTAAATTCATGCAGGCCTTGATGTGTTTTAAAGGAAGTTTTGTGTACACTTCTAGATTTGATGGCAGTCAATCCTTAAGTCGATCTTAGAAAAGATTTTTGACCAATAAAGCTCATCTATCAAACACATTAATAAGGGGCATAGGGACTTATCTTTAATCGTTAGTTGGTTGAGTTGTCGGTAGTCCGCACAAAACCTCCACCGCCATCTTTCTTCTCCACTGTCAAGCATGTCTTTCACCATTTGTTCCACCTCTTTTCTGTTATATGGGCACCTATATGGCCACATTTTTTTAGCACCTTCTTTAAGAGGAATCATGATCAGGGACTCTCTCAGGCAGTAAGCCCTTTAGTTCAGCAAAAACATCTTGGAATACAGCTAACACTGCTTGTAATTCTGTGGGAGTATTTTATGTAACTTCCTCTTGTATTGCATATAGTTGTCCCACTACCCGATATTCTTGTTGACGTATCAATTTACTTGTATGCCTACCAGCGATCATTTCTAAGTTGCCATTTGTCGTAAATAAAACATCCTTGCCATCAATATAAAACCTGATGCAGCGTTCCTTAAAGCTGAAAAGGAAGGTCAAATTGGCTTAACCAATCTACCACTAAGACCAAGTCATTGTCCCCAAGCCTCAAGGTTCTCATTTTAGATTGGAATTCCATACTGTTTTACTCTCTAATAACTGTCCATGTGCGAAAGGGGCCTGGAAAAGCTTGTGAAGGTGTGATCACACAAAAGGTTTTTGGGGGTGGTGATGATGATGCGCATGAAATTCTTTTTGAGGGTCAGGGGCTGCACTAAAAAGGAACTGGGCAAGTCATGTTGGTGTACAATAGACTAAAGAGTATATTATTCTTATTTAGCTGTACAATTTTTCCTTTGCACGGTTGGTTAATTCGAGAGCCTGTCCAGGGAACCCATCTCTTTCTTAGCTATTGCAACTCTCTACAGTCAACCCTAAAACCCAAGTTTTACGTGAAAAAATTTGTTATTATTTTTGCACTCGCCAACTATGATTAGAAATTTCACAATGGGTGAGTTCTATGTTAGAAGGAGGTTTTGGACATCATTGATATCAGAGAAAATTAATCAGCTTGGTTGTACATGAAATTGTTACCATAGATTTCAAACTGTGTGTAAACATAAAGTTAACATGTTCCTTGTTGTAGCTACGGGTTCATAGATAATGAACGATCCATCTGCATGTCACCATGGTTTAGCTATGATCATCACTCTTAACTCGGTTGACTTTCCACTTTTTTTAGGACAATCTAGGTTCTGATTTTCTTTTTAATTTTTATTTTGCTATGCAGTCATGAATGGCCAGCCTTCAAGGCTTGTCTATAAATTAGAGACCCTAGGCCCTACAAAGCCCTCCCTGCCCCTTCCTGTGGTCATGGGGAGTTGTTAGGCTAGTTCTATCATCCCCTTAGTTTATAAATGCTGGACGATCAGAATTCAGAAATAAATAATGATTTAACGAATCTTCGGATGCCATCTTCTTAAATAAGAACCGGTAACTGCTAAATTAAGTATTTTACGTTGTAATGACTTATGATTAAGGTTGTAACAAAACCATCATTTTGTTTTGTGGCTTGCCATGTATGTTTCTTTCATTGGTCCTCATAAAAATCTCATCCTCTTTGCCAAGTAATTCAGAATCTGAAGTTTATTTGACAAGGATGACTCTTCTGCAGAAGAAGAGATACTCTGGGTTAGAAAACTGGAAATCTTATACAATAATAGGGGCTTCATTGAACTGCTTCAACAGCTTACTATTTGCGATTCTGTCTCTAATGAGAGATTCCAAGAACAATTTCAGGAGCTCGCTAAGTTTGGAGATGACCATCTTGTATGTGTAATAGAATATGACCAATCAGGAAGGAGTGTTGCCACTGGGAGTGTGGTCGTTGAAAAGAAATTTACGAGGATTGTGGCAAAGTTGATCATATAGAAGATGTAGTGGTAGATTCCAGCATTCGAGGCAAGCAATTAGGGAAGAAGATAATCGAGTTCCTATCTGATCATGCTTGATAAACTGGGTGTTACATGGTGATTCTTGATTGCAGTATTGATAGCAGACCATTTTATGAGAAATGAAGCAAAAGGAAGTTCAGATGGTGAAGTACTTCATTTGATGAATGTTCCAACTGTTCTTGCATATCAAAGCCTCAATGAATACGGTTTGGATTATTCTATCTCTGCTTGCATGCGGTTGTATGTGCTAACATCTTTACCTTGGTTGATTCGGGGGCATTCCTTGGTTTTAAAACGAAGTGCCTCTGTTTGTAATTGAATCTAAATTGATTTCAATAGCAAGATCTGCGGAACAGGAAGATGTCCTATGTCAACTTTAGAAATAAGAGATCTTGAGCAGCAGTTTTCTTGTGACATAAGGTAATTTATATTCCCAGATAGCATTGCCTGTATATCCTTCGGCTTCAAAGTGATATCTTCTGGAATTTTTATTTCTTTGCCTACAAATTCTGTCAACAAGCGTTGTTGAGGTCTCGCACTTCAGGATTCTAGCATGAAATAATATGTTTGCTTTACTTTCTTTGTTTTTGATGTTGAAAGAGTTATATTTCTCATTCGGCAATGAGTTTCGCTTGTGATCTTCTCCATCCAATGAATAAATTTTTTGTTCAAAATCATCCTTGTAAAAATTAGCAAGACCATGCACATTTCAGGCTAATACAGTTCGCTTGTTAGTGTACAAACAATAGACGCTTAAACTAGTTACCTGTCATTTCTCTTAAATAACTGACCAACTTAATGATAAACGAACTGCATTCCAACATCTAATCTCCAATGCAGAATAAATCAAATTTTGGCATCACAATATTAAAAATTTCAACTTTGAATCCATCAAGTATGAGGACTTGAATCAAGGATTCCCTAGCCTAAGCATTTTGCAATGATCCTTACAAATTATAGACCATATCCTATATTTCAATCCATAACAGACTTATCTTACAAGCATAGCCAACAACTCTACCAAGATCTTGTTGCTAAACTTTATTTTCCCTATTGCCCAACAAAAGACAAGTTCTACATGACGGGAAAAAAAAAAAGAAAAAGAAAAAGAAAAAAAGTAATACTTGGTTGGAGCAACATCTGACAAATCAATAAAAGACGACAGTTCTCTCTCTCTCTCTCTTCAAATAATTCAGAAACGAGCAAATATAAGTCCAAAAAGAGAATTGAATAAGAGTTTAATATAAATCTCTTAACAACTCACAGCAGAATAATTCAATTCCTGAATGCATCCTGAGTACCAAATTCTAGATGGAATTATTCCTGCTGCTCCTTGGCTTTTAAGTTTGTAGTGGGATGTAAAAGCCTGGCCGTTAGAAGACATCATTAATAATCACGGAAGTAATCGATGATGAGCAAGATATACTAACATTCGATAAATCAATCAATTCAAAGCTTGAAGTAAAACATTTTTATTCTGCAACTCATACAAGCATGAATACCTAGAGGCTAATATGTTTTTCTAAATAATAAAGAGTATGTCAAACAGATTCTAACCATAATGACACTGAAATTAACAGCACAGAATCACCATCACCGGCTTCCATTTCAATTTTTATTCATGCATTGATGCTTGGCCAACTTTATTAGACTAGACGTTTCCTTGTGAGCTTGTTTGCCTACAGGCCCGTCTTGCGCTTACATAGTATAACGTACTCTTAACAGTAACAGATTCATTCAGGAAAAGCTTCAAATCAGTTTGCATTTTAATTAAATGGTGATATAAATGTAGTTAGTACTTCTTTGGCTTTCGTTTTAAAAATCTCACATAGTTCTTGTCATTTTTGATATCTTCAACTACCTTCAGTGCAATTTCATCCAATATGCTTATAAGGCCCGTCTTGTAGCAGGGTGTCAGAATTGCTTATAAGCATTGTGGGTTTCTAAGCATTTTATGTCAATCATTCGTGCACTTATAATCATTTTCAAGTGTTTTGCTTGGCTTATAAGCACTTTAAGTGCCTATAGGTTCATTAAGTGAATAGTTTATAAGCCTTCTAGTGCTTTTATAAACATTTTCAAGTGTTTTGCATTGCTTATAAGCACTTTACATGCTTCCAATGCCTCAGAAACAAGTTAGGGTAACTTATTTTTGTGACAGGATCATGATAAACACTTTTAATTTGTTGAAGAATCTCTAGGATCTCATAAATTCTTAAGAGGGATTATAAGAACAAAGTTCTTACAACTTACAAGCACCTTTCCTCCTAAAAAACTACAAACAAGTCGTTCAGTCTAGGCCTTCAGCTAAATATTAACATTGAACCCAACAGCAGTAATGTATAAACAAATTACATGATGAGGAGGATGCAATTTCATACCACGGGTTGTTGTTACAAAAAACTAATATTTGCTGAACTCCATGAAATAAACTTTTTTCTACCGAACATATGATAAGAACTGCCAATCAGCTGCCCCCTGCTAAGATGTGGTAGAATAAAAGCTATATTAAGTCTTTTTCTCAGACAATTAAATCAGAATTATCAAATAAAATGTTAAACATACAAATTACATTACCATCTTGCAACTCTTCAAGGTATCTATAAATCAGCTTCTTCCAGGGCAATTGCCTCAAACTCTTAGGCCCCAATGTAAATTCATCATCTTTCCACATTAACATTCTGTAGTTAATCAAGATGGCTTTTTTGCTTTACCAAGTCCATCCATCAATCTATTGTAGGTAGTAAGATCAGAAATAAACCCTCTATCCAACATCTCGTCCAACAGAACTTCCCCCTCCTTCCTTCTGTCTTCCTTCGTATAACCTGAAATCAAAATCCTGTAAGTCATACCATCAGGATTCAAGCCTTTTCTGGAAGCCAACAATCTCAACTTATTTGCTTCCACAACTCTTCCAGAATCACACATATCACTTAGCAGACAATTAAAAGTCACGCTATCTGGAACAATGCAATCTTTAAGCATCTTTTCCATTAGTTTAAATGCCATATCAATCCTGCCTACGCTCCGTAAACCCTCAATCAAAGTTGTACAAGCAATCAAGCTAGGCATATTAGCTTTCTTCCAAAACTCGTCGACCACCTCAAGTGCCTTCTCCACATTCCCACCCTGACAAAGCCTCTCAATCAGCCCAACATAATCAAACCCTTTGGGCAAAACCCCTTTTATAGAAAGATCAAGAATCAAATCGCACGCATCAGTTTCCTTTCCCCTTTGACAAAGCCCACCAACCAAAATCTCACAGGTCACACCCGAGAACTCACACCCCAGCTCAATCATCTCGTACACCATCCCAACTGCCTCCTCAACCTTCCCCTCCCGAAAGAACCCTTTAATTAAAGTATTAAAACTAACCACATTTGGAACACAACCTTTATTTTTCATCTCCTTGAACACCTGCAATGCCAACTCAAACTTCCTACTCCTACAGTACCCATTAATCAAAGTATTAAAGGTAATCACATCGGGCTTCACCCGGTCTCTAATCATCCTATCATAAAACTCAACCGCGTTATCCAATTTTCCGAACTTTACAAACCCGTGAATCATAATATTATACAAAGCAACATTAGGCTTGCCATCTATTAACCTTTTCATAGTACCAAAAGCAAATAGTGCATCATCAAATCTACCAATCCTACAAAACGAACTAATAGAAACCCGGAATATTGGCTCGGTGCTAGGACAGGAGAAGATACCGTCGGAACACGGGCAAGGATTGGCAGCGATGAACTGGAGGAGGGAGGCAAGGAAGTCGAAGCGGTTAGAGGAAATTAAGGAGCGGGCCATGTACTCGAAAGTGGAGTGGTCGTGGCGAAAGGAGTCGAAGGTAGCGACAAAGCGGAAGAAGTGGAAATCGAGGTGGCTGAGAATCGGGTTATGGCGCACATGGGATTTAAAGAAGTGAAGAAGTTCTTGTGGGGTAATGGTGGTGGGATTCTTTTTGAGGTGGGTTTTGAGTAGGGTGGTGAGGTGAGTCAATTGGGTTTGGGTGGTGGCGGAGGGGAAGCTGGAAGGCGAAGGCGAAGGCTCCACGAGTAGCAGAGGAAGCGGCGGAGGTCTCGGTTGGCGGTTTGAGGATTTTAAGAATCCATTGACAGCGGCTTTTCTAGACATCGGCAACTGGGTACCTCGCCGTCTTATACTCTCCGATAGTCTCACGGCAGTTTCTTTGAGCTGGAACAATTAAATGGATGTTTTGATATTAATTATCCACCGCAAATTTCAGCAAGCACACTCCAATTTTTTATTTACTAAAATATTCATTAATAAAATTACATAAATAGAATTTTAATATGCTTTTTAATTAAATAAATTATTATTACATCCCATCCCGCCAACCTATTGGGGTGGGTTTTTTTGCCATCACTACCTCTAGGTCTGAGGATGTTAAAATAAGAGATGATGAGTGTAACACCGGAGTCCTAAAACTCGAGGGTCATAAAAGATAATACATAAAAGAGAACTTATTTAATATTCATTTCATAAATTGAGAAAGTCAACTAAAAAAAATATTTGTTCATGATACTTAAAATAATCAATTCGAAAGGAAAATTCATAAAACTTCAAAATTTATTTTTACCACCACGATCAAATCCAAATTTCAATCTTCTCAATGCTTAGTTACTTGAAAAGGAGAAAACATAAGGGTGGGAAAATATCAATAAGCATATACGTGTTCATAAATTTATAATCATATAATGTTTGGAATCATATAACTTACATAGAGGAGACACGAAACTATACCAAATTTAGGCGGTATGAGTTTTACGTGTGTGGCGCTACTAGAACTCCGGTCTGAAACTTAGAACATACATATGGACCCATAAACATATTTCCAAAAGTACATCATAACAACAAGTGTATTCTTACTGTTGTGTGGGAAAATAAAGGCAATCAAAGAAATTGGCTTGCTTGATTTCCACTCCAAAATCTTCTTCAACGGCGTGAGTACTAAAGATTTTTGTAATGTGAAATATGTTTGTGTGTAAGATAGGTTGTGAAAGAGGAGAAAAAGTGAGATGTGAATTTCCTAAAAATCTTGCATCTATTTGTAGTATACGAATAATACATAGTATAAACCTCATAATTTATTTAAATAATTAAAGATAATCTTAATATCCAACAAAATTTGTGATAATGTTGAATAATCATAATATCCAATATAATTTGAATAATTAAAAATAATCATAATATCTAATAAAATTTGTGATAATATTGAATATTTAAAAATAACCATAATATCTAAAATTTGGATAATGTTGAATACTTAAAAATAATCATAATATCTAATAAAATTTGTGATAATATTGAATATTTAAAAATAACCATAATATCTAAAATTTGGATAATGTTGAATACTTAAAAATAATCGTAATATCTAACAGAATTTGTGATAATGTTGAATATTTAAAAATAATCATAATATCTAATCGAATTTATTTATTTAAACTTATAACAATATCTTAGATATTCTCTCACTTTGAAATTCATATATTTGTGCTTTAATCCCTAAAATATTAGACATTAATCAATTAGGTCCCTAGACTATACCGTCACGTGATAAGGCCCAAAATTTTAATATAATGACTAATTTTGAGGTATGAGGTGTCACAATCTACCCTCCTTAAAATGAATTTCGTCCTCAAAATTTACCTCAACTGTTATCAGCAAAAAGTTGGGGATACTTGGATCGTATTTCCCCTTCGCGTTCCCAAGTGGCTTCTTCTACTAAATGGTGTTGCCATAACACTTTAACTAGTAGTATTTTTACTGCGAAGCTTCTGTACTTTCTGAGCTATGATGATTATTGGTGCTTCTTCGTAACTCAAATATGGTTGAATATCTAATGGTTGGTGTCTGATAACATGAGTTGGATCATGAACATACTTTCTGAGCATTGATACATGAAAGATATCGTGTACTGCTGAAAGCTCTGGTAGCAAAGCTAATTGGTATGAAACATTTCCAATTCGCTTTAAAATTTCGAAAGGACCAATGTACCTTGGTCTGAGCTTACCCTTCTCACCAAATTGTAATATTCCTTTAATTGGTGCAACCTTGAGGAATACCTTGTCACTTATTATAAATTCTAGATCTTTTTTCTTCTATCTGCATAATTCTTCTGTCTATCCTGAGCCATTTTCATGCTAGCTCGAATTTTCTCAATAGCCCGCACTGCTTGTTCAGTGATCTCTGGCCCCAAAATTTTTCGCTCTCCGACCTCATCCCAATGAATTGACGATCTACACTTCCTCTCATATAATGCCTCATATGGTGCCATGCCAATAGAGGCGTGATAACTGTTGTTGTATGCGAACTCAATCAAGGGTAAATGTTTCTCCCAATGCCCCACAAACTCAAGGATACATGTTCGAAGCATATCCTCAAGCATTTGAATCGTTCGCTCCGACTGGCCATCTGTTTGGGGATGAAAAGCCGTACTAAATTTTAGCTTAGTTCCCATAGCTCGGTGTAAACTTTTCCAAAAATTCGATGTGAACCTTGGATCTGTCATTGAAACTAGGACACCACGTAGCCTCACAATTTCCTTAACACATAACTGTGTAAATTGATCCATAGAAAATGTCGTGTGAACGGGTAAGAAATGAGCTGACTTGGTTAATCGATCAACAATTACCCAAATAGTCTCATGTCTTCTTACTGACTTTGGAAAACCTACAACAAAGTCCATCGTCACATGTTCCCATTTCCATTACGGAACCTCCAACGGCTGTAGTAACCCTGATGGTCGCTAATGTTCGGCTTTCACTTGTTGACATATCAGGCATTTCTCCACATATTTAGCTATATCTTCCTTCATATTTTTCTACCAAAACACAGTTCTTAGGTCACGATACATCCTTGTACCTCCTGGATGTACCGAATAAGGAGTAGAATGGGCTTCCTCCAAAATTTCTGTTTTCAATTCCTCGAACTCTAGTACACACAAGCGTCCTTGATAATATAATGCTTTATCCTCAGCTATGGTGAAATGTGTCAATCTCAATTTTGATAAATTCTAAGAACTGATCACCCTTTTGATGATTCTTAATCTAATCACGGAGAGTTAATCGAACTGCAAGTGCTGCCATTCGAGAAATATAATCAAGGAAAGGAGCAGCTACTACTTCAAGACTTAATTTCTCAAATTCTCTCGACAAAGCCCTTTGTGCTGTTAACATCGCCACTTGTCCCATTGTCTTTCTACTCAAGGCATTGGCTACTACATTCACCTTGTCCGGGTGGTAATGAATTTCACAATCGTAATCCTTTACTAGTTCAAGCCATCTCCTTTGCCTCATGTTCAACTCTTTCTGAGTGAAGATGTACTTGAGGCTCTTATGATCTTTATAGACCACTTTCCTCCATAAAGATAGTCCTCCAAATCTTCAAAGCATGAACTACCACAGCTAGTTCTAAGTCATGTGTATGATAATTCTGCTCATGAGGCTTCAACTGCCTCGATGCATAAGCAACTACTTTGCCTTGTTGCATCAAAACACATCCAATACCCTGCTTGGATGTATCACTATAGATAACGAAACCTTCTGATCCTTCAAGTATGGTTAACACTGGTGCATTGACTAATCTCTTTTTCAACTCTTCAAAATTGTGTTCACATTTTTCCATCCATTCGAACTCTATACCCTTACGAGTCAACTGTGTTAATGGTCCGAATATTTTGGAAAATCCCTCAATAAACCTCCTGTAGTACCTGCTAAACCCAAAAAGCTGTGAGCTTCTCCTACATTGGTTGGCCTAGACCAATTCAATGTCGCATCTAATTTACTTGTGATGTGACCACATGTCCAAGAAATACCACCCATTCCAACCAAAATTCATACTTCTTGAATTTTGCAAAAAGCATTTCATTTCTCAAGATCCCTAACTCAATTCTCAGATGTGTTTCGTGTTCTTCTTCACTTTGAGAGTAAACCAAAATGTCATAAATGAAAACGATGACACACTTGTCCAAGTATTCATGGAAAACTCGATTAATCAAGTCCATGAAAACTTCAAGAGCATTTGTTAAGCCAAATGGTTCTTTAAGACATCACTCGGTTTGACCCTCAACTGGTGATATCCTGACCTCAAATTGATCTTTGAAAATACTTTGGCCCCTCGTAGTTGGTTAAACAAGTCTTCGATTCTAGGCAGTGGATACTTATTCTTGATAGTAATTATGTTCAATTCTCGGTAATCAATACACAACCTCATTGTTCCATCATTTTTCTTGACAAATAACACTGGCGCTCCCCACGATGATACACTGGGTCGAATGAATCATTTTCCCAATAACTCCTCTAATTGGGCTTTCAGTTCTTGTAATTCCTTTGGTGTCATCCAATAAGGAGCCTTAGAAATGGCTGGGGAGCCAAGAACCACATTAATCGTGAACTCCAATTCACGTTCTGGCGGCATTTTATTCAAATCATTAGGAAAGACATCAAGAAACTCATGTACCACCTTAACATCACTTACCTTTAGCTCTTCATCTTCTTTAGCTACTATTAACATCAAGAATCTCCTACAACCTTCTGACTTCAAGAGTTTTCTAGCCTTCAATGCTGAAATAATATGGGGTAGGGATTTTGTCTTGGTTACTGAAAGACGAAGTTCTATATCTCTAGGTTGCTTAACAATGACTTCCCTTTCAAAACACAAAATAGTTGTGTGAATCTTAGAAAGCCAGTCCATTCCCAAAATCACGTCGAACTCTTGCATGTTCAAGACATATAAATTCGTCTCTAAGGATTTACCATCAATCTCTACCTTAACTATTTTCACTATACAATCTGCACCTATCACTTCTCCTGCGGGCATAGCAACTTCTAAGGGAGTACTTACATGTTTACTAGGTGCATTAAGTTTGTTCACGAACTTATGAGATATAAAAGAATGCATAGAGCCAGAATCAATCAAAATATAAGCAGGGGTTCGAGATATAAGGATGTTACCCGCTAAGGCGTTGCGGTCTTGCCCTTCTTCCTAGCATACACTCTAGCTTGGCCTTTAGGGGGATTCCAAGGCTTCTGTTGTTGTTGTTGTTTCTACTTTTGTCCCTTAGGGCATATTTTTGTCATATTGCCTGTTTCACCACAGTTGAAGCATACACCGGTACACATGAGACACGCTCAAGCATAACGCTTTTAGCACTTGCCGCAAAGTGGATACAACTGATAATTATTTGTACTTGGGTCTCCTTTATACTTCTTTACAAAATTTTGTTTTCCTTTTCCTTTATAGTCCTTCCATTTTCGCTTTTCTAGCTGTACATTCTGCTTGTTCTCCCCACTAGTGTGACGCTTGAAATCTGCTAATTGTGCTCTTGCTAACACTTCATGGTAGGTTCCTAGTTGAAGTACTACCAATGCTTGCCTTAGATCATCTATCAACCCTTCTTCAACACGTCTTACTTTTTTTTCCCTCAGTTTCTACTTGGTTATGGCATAATGGGATAGCTCTTCAAATTTTCGCTCATATTTCGTTAAAGACATTGACCCTTAAACTAAATTGAGAAAATCTCTCTCCTTCTGATTGCGGATACTTGTGGGGTAGTACTTTCTTAGGAATTGTTCCTTAAATTCATTCAACATCCAGATGTGTCCACGGGCCCTCGACCTTGAGGTTGAGTTCCACCAATGCATGGCACCTTTCTTAAGGATAAATGTTGCACAAATAACTTTCCTATAGTCGGGGCAGTCAATGAGATCAAAAATTCTTTCTATTCCGACCAACCAATCCTCTGCTTCTAACGGATCTATACCACCCTCAAAGGTTGAGAGTTGTTGTTTCCTAAAAAGTTCTACCACAATAGCAGCAATATTCCTGGTGTCCTCTGCCACCATTGGTGCTTGCAGTTGAGGTGATTGCACTGGTAGTGGTGGTGCTTGTTGTGGTATTGTCGTCTCTTAGACGAACGTACGCATTATAACAAGAAATTGTTGGGCAAACTGTGGGTCAACGCCATTAGGTTGGGGTTGCTGGGCTGGTTGGGACCGTTAGTCATTGTTTGCTCTCCTACCTAGGGGTGCCATAGCTTGAACAAATAATATTGCAATAAATAATAGGCTGAAAGGAAAAATTAGTGTATTGTATTCATAGAATTTTCATAATTTCATAAAGGTATGTAGGGCATACCCCACATCCAAGCAAAAGAAAAATCTACTAGGAAAAATGATCGCAAGGTATACCAAGCGTCCTTACAAACATAGAAAATCATATACTAGAGCAAGAATCTAAACATAAGACTATAATCTAGTAGTTTTTCCCAGTGCTCTCATCATGGCTTGGTTCTGGGTCCTCTGAAGGGTCTTTTTCCTCATTAGGGTCGCTGGGCAGATACTCTATTATGTTGCCCTCACTGTCTACCTCTGGTATTTCCTCGTGACCGTTCCCATTGGGCATGATATGAGGCTGACGTCGAAAATGATCTGGTTCATACCCTTCAGGCCTCTCAATAACTCTATAATCCTCGCTATTGATCCTTCATTTTTCTCTAAAGCTCTTAATAAGGTGTTCGACGGATATTTGTCGATCATACATTTCATCGAGTCGTTTCGCGAAGTCTTTCCAATATTCGGTAAGGGTTCTAAGTAGAGGAAAAAATGCCTCAGTTAAACTAGTGTCCATTTAGTCGAGCCCCTTGATAAATGGCCTCAATAACATCCAAATGCTCTACGAGGTTGTGGCTTGGGTTCCTTGTATAAAATCTATGGAGGTGCAAGAACCTTGATTGATTTCGTTTCTTAATCATCTCTCTTCTTGTTTGGGCTGGACCTCTAGCCATCTACGAAAGGCTATGGCACCCTAAGGTAGGAGAGCAAACAATGACGAACAATCCCAACCAACCCAACAACCCCAACCTAATGGCGTTGACTCACAGTTTGCCCAACAATTTCTCACTATGATGCGTACGTTCATCCAAGAGACGACGACATCGCAACAAGCACCACCACCACCTCAACCGCAAACACTAATAGTGGTAGAGGACACCACGAATACTACTGCTGTTTTGGTAGAACTTTTCAGGAAATAACAACCCTCAACCTTTGAGGGTGGTATAGATCCATTGGAAGCAGAGGATTGGTTGGTTAGAATAGAAAGAATTTTTTATCTCATTAACTGCCCTGACTCTAGGAAAGTTATTTGTGCAACATTTATGCTTAAGAAAGGTGTCATGCGTTGGTGGGACTCAACCTCAAGGTCGAGGGCTCGCGGACACATCTGGATGTGGAATGAATTTAAGGAACAATTCCTAAGAAAGTATTACCCCACAAGTATCTACAATCAGAAAAATAGAGAATTTCTCAATTTAGTTCAAAGGTCAATGTCTTTAACTGAGTATGAGCGAAAATTTGAAGAGTTATCCCATTATGACCCTAACCAAGTAGACACTGAGGAAAAAAAGGCAAGATGTTTTAAAGAAGGGTTGAGAGATGATTTAAGGCAAGCATTGGGAGTAATTCAACTAAGAACCTACCATGAAGTGTTAGCAAGAGCACAATTAGCATATTTCAAGCATCGCACTAGTGGGGAGAACAAGCAAAATGTACAGCCAGAAAAGCGGAAATGGGAGAACTTTAAGGGAGAAGGAAAATGAAATTTTGTAAAGAAGTATAAAGGAGACTCAAGTACAAACAATTATCAACTGTATTCAGTTTGCGGCAAATGCCAAAAGAGTGATGCTGGAGCGTGTCTCATGGGCACCGGTGTATGCTTCAATTGTGGCGAAACAGGCCATATAGCAAAAATATGCCCCGAGTCCTAAAACCCGAGGGCCATAAAAGATACTACATAAAAGAGAGCTTATTTAAGATTCATTTCATAAATTGAGAAAGTCAGTTAAAAAAAAAAACTTGATCAAGATACTTAAAATAATCAATTCGAAAGGAAAATTCATAAAACTTCAAAATTTATTTCCACCACCACGACCAAGTCTAAGCTTCAATCTTCCTAACACTTAGTTACCTGAAAGGAGGCAAACATAAGGGTGAGAAAATCTCAATAAGCATTTACGTGTTCATAAGTTTCTAATCATATAACCTTTGGAATTATAGAACTTGCATAGAGGAGATACTACACTATACTGAACTTAGGTGGTATGAATTTTACGTGCTTTGCGCTACTAAAACTCCATTCGAAACTTTGAACATACATATGGACCCATAAACATATTTCCAAAAGTGCGGCATAATAACACGTATATACTTACTGTTGTGTGGAAAAATAAAGGCAATCAAAGAAATTGACTTGCTTGGTTTTCACTTCAAAGTTTTCTTGAACAACGTGAGCACTAAAGATTTTTGTAATGTGAAATATGCTTGTGTGTAATATGTGTTATGAGCGAGAAAAGAAAAAGTGATGTGTGGATTTCTTGAAAATCATGCACCTATTTATAGTATACTAATAATGCATAGGATAAATCTCATAATTTATTTAAATAAATTTAAATACTAAGATAATTTTAATATCTAATAAAATTTGTGATAATGTTGAATAAGCATAATATCCAACAAAATTTGTAATAATATTGAATTATCATAATATCCAACATAATTTGAATAATTAAAAATAATCATAATGTCTAATAGAATTTGTGATAATATTGAATATTTAAAATAACCATAATATCTAACAGAATCTTTGATAATGTTGAATATTTAAAAATAATCATAATGTCTAATAGAATTTGTGATAATATTGAATATTTAAAATAACCATAATATCTAACAGAATCTTTGATAATGTTGAATATTTAAAAATAATCATAACGTCTAATCGAATTTATTTATTTAAACTTATTAAAATATCTTAGGCTTTGAGATTCAAATATTTGTGCTTTAAACCCTAAAATATTAGACATTAATCAATTAGGTCTCTAGACTATACCGTCTAAGTGATAAGGCCCTAAATTTTAATATAATGACTAACTTTGAGGTATGAGGTATCACAAGGTAAGTGAGCGCAAGGCCGATCCAAAACGGACAGTACATAAGTTAACGACTTGGATACAAAGACCTGAGTCGTTACAAAAAAATGCGCATTTTTTGTAATGACCTGGATCACTGTACCCAAGCTGTTAGCTTACGTACTGTCCGTTTTGGATGGTCCTTGCGCTCACTTACCTTGTGACACATATTTCTGTCACGTCCCCCAGGATCCAAACTCATTTGTGACACCCGAGTCCTAAAATTCGAGGGCCATAAAAGATAATACACATAAAAGAGAACTCATTTAATATTCATTTCGTAAATTGAGAAAGTCAACTAAAAAAAATTCTTGTTCATGATACTTAAAATAATAAATTTGAAAGGAAAATTCATAAAACTTCAAAGTTTATTTCCACCACCACGACCAACTCCAAACTTCAATTTTCTCAATGCTTGGTTACCTGAAGGAGGAAAACATAAGGGTGAGAAAATCTCGATAAGCATATACATTTTCATAAGTTTCTAATCATATAACGTTTGGAATCATAGAATTTGTATAGAGGAGACACGAAACTATACCAAATTTAGGTGGTATGAGTTTTACGTGCGTAGCGCTACTAAAACTCCGATCTGAAACTTAGAACATGCATATGGACACATAAACATATTTCCAAAAGTGCAGCATAACAACCTGTATATACTTATTGTTGTATTGAAAATAAAGGCAATCAAAAAAATTGGCTTGCTTGATTTCCACTCCGAAGTTTTCTTGAACAGCGTAAGTACTAAATATTTTTGTAATGTAAAATATGCTTGTGTGTAAAATGGATTGTGAGAGAAAAGAGAAAAAGTGAGGTGTGAATTTCCTGAAAATCATGCACCTATTTATAGTATACTAATGATATATAGTATAAATCTCATAATTTATTTAAATAAATTTAAATACTTAAAGATAATCTTAATATCCAACAAAATTTGTGATAATGTTGAATAATCATAATATCCAATATAATTTGAATAATTAAAATAATCATAATATCTAATACAATTTGTGATAATATTGAATATTTAAAAATGACCATAATATCTAAAATTTGGATAATGTTGAATACTTAAAAAAAATTGTAATATCTAATAGAATTTGTGATAATGTTAAATATTTAAAAATAATCATAATATCTAATCGAATTTATTTATTTAAACTCATAACAATATCTTAGAAATTATATCACTTTGAGATTCAAATATTTGTACTTTAATCCCTAAAATATTAGACATTAATCAATTAAGTTCCTAGTCTACACCGTCTACGTGATAAGGCCCTAAATTTTAATATAGTAACTAATTTTGAGGTATAAGGTGTCACAATGAGACTTTTGATATCTTTTATGCGAGTCTAAATGACATAGTAAACTGTAGCTTCAATTTAGGTGATAGAATCTTGAAGTCTAAGATAGTCAAAAAAATCCTTACATCCTTACCTGAGCGATTTAGGCCTAAAATCATGGCGATAGAGGAAAGTAAGGATATGAATTCCATTAAGGTTAAAGAATTGGTAGGATCGATTCAGACTTATGAGTTAACCTTAACTAAACATGTAAAAGAAAAGTGTTTGGCCTTAAAAATTGCTTGGGGTAACCGTGATGGATCTTTTAACTCAAATTCACCTAATGAGGAGAAGTTAGCCTACTATGCTAAAAAATTCCATAAAATATTTAGGAATAAGAAGCCTCTAAAGAAATACATATAATTAGTTACGTAGGAGATAATTTTATTAATAACCAATAAATGCAACCTTAATAAAATTAATCTAGATAAGGATGATAATAGATGAAAAGTACGTGGTGTCACAAAATATCGTGCAAAACAAATAAATGAAGAGAAAAATTATTACTTCGGTAAAAATAATAGAGACCAACTAAAATTCCTCAAGAAAAACATTCCCCATCAAAGAAATAGAATTAATACGTGAGGTGAACTTTCAAATTACTTTAAACAAAAAAATCAACCAGCACCATAGAATCAAAACACAAGAAATAAAATGAAACTAATACCTGATTCATTGTGAACAATAGCCAATAAATGAATAAAAATGATGGGCAGAGTACAAATTTTATGATTTCAATTCGTCTCCTTGCCTCTAAAAATTGGAAGTCTGTTTGTTAAGGTTTGGGAATAAGAAAATCGCAGCTTTGATTACAGATGTAGGTTTCATTTCGTCGCTTACCTTTAGAAATTGGATTTAATGCCAAGTTTGAATTTGCGATGAAGAAACCCGTAGTTTTTTTTATTAGGGTTTGAGTTGGGAATATTAGGCTTAGATAATGAAGGAAAGAAAACTCTGGCTTTGTAGAAGGGAATAAAGTTGGAGTTGGTCAGATTAATTTAGAAAGTGAGGCGTAGGGGTATGGGTATGGGTATGGATATGGGTATGGGTTGGGTCGGTTTGATTTGATACTTGTCTACTGTTTTGTACAAAATTTTCATCTTGTCAAATCAACATTAATTAAAGACAAACTAAGCATTTAAATTTCCTGAAGGGGCAAATAAGTCAAAAAGTAATATTTTTGCAAAGATTATTAGAAGATGACATTTTTGTAATTGTCAAGCCAAAAAGTGAAATGAGGTGCAATTTTCTCTAGTTATTTCTATTAAAAATGTGGTTTAACATGCGAGTTGTGCTAGTTCTGGATGTTCAAGTGCGCTAGAATAATTCTTAACATAAATTTAAAGCCAAAAATTTGACCAAAATTAAAGTCACACTACATTTTCTTATCTCAATATATTTCTTGACTTTTATTTATTACAACAAATAATAAAAATCATTATTAAAAGTTTGCCAACTAAGCGTCGAATCAGCTCTAGTCAGCAAAATTAAAATGTGCCTTACCAAACACGGCTTTACCATTTTTAGTACTACGACTTCACAAAATCAAAATCCATTTGTGCAAACCATGAAGTTCATTTATCATCCCGAATCAATTCATCTCTCAAACCCTAACTCATTTACATGGAACTATCCCAATTGAGAAATTAATCATTTCAAGAATGACGAAAGGAACACAAAATTGATTGTAATCTCTTGTTTGTTGGAATCGAAAACGAGTTGTGAAGGTAAATTTCATCTATTCTAGTACCGATTTGAGGATAGAACGTTCTTCTTCAAGTCCTTGCCATCTTTTTTATCGTAAAATTTAGCAAGAATCTTTTGAAAAATCATTTTCCTCCATTCTGTGGTGGCTACGGAAACAAAATGTGGGTTGAGCATGATCGAATAACTGATTTGGTGGCAAGNNTGGGGGGGGATTTTATTTCTTTTATTTGTTATTATCATTTTTTCCCCTCTTCTTCCATTTCTATTTATTTATTGTTTACTTAAATTGAGAAGAATTTGAATTTACGAAATTGAGATGAATATGAATAAGGATATGAATTGACCAAATTGAAATGAATATAACTTGAGATATGAATATGAACTTGTCTTTTATTTATTTTCATTTTATTTGTTAAATGGAGATGAACGTGAAATTAATAAAGCATGTGCATCTCATGCTTTTATTACAGTATTGACTTTGACCATGTTGTGCTAACAATTGTTGGCATTTTGAATGGAGCAATGTTATGCTCGGCCAACAAAAAAATGTACAATTTGAGAAATTGAGAAACCTCTTCAGCCATCTCCCAATCTCCCTTTAGTGCTTCTTGTCCCAAAAAATCTGGATCCCCTATTTCAAGTTGTAGTTGAAATAACAACATGTAAGTCTGAAAAATAACTTTTTTTTATATTTTTTTATCTAAATATATTTAATTCTCAGTTCCTAATTCCTTAATTTTGCTGAGTTGACATAATAAATAACACTATTTGATAACATAGTGATACTAAACTGTGCATGCAGGATTTAACATTGATTTTTTTTTTTTTTTTTTTAACCAAAATGACCATTAGAGTGACATTTAAAAAGGCAAGTGACTATTACAATATAAATAATTTTAATGATCATTTACATAATTACTCAAGATTCAAATGGCCATTGTTGTAACTAACCTAGTGGTAAATTAGGAACATTTTTAACCAGTGTTAATAAAATCGGACCAGACTGACCGTTTCAATCAAAAGCAGATGAATTGAACCTAGGTCCGACTTTGACCTAGTTGTACTAACAATTCTGGGCATTTTGAATGGAGCAGTGTTATGATCGGCCAACAAAAAAATGTGCAATTTGAGATATTGAGAAACCTCTTCGACCGTTTCCCAATCTCTCTCTAGTGCTTCCAGTCCCAAAAATCTAGATCCCCACTTTCAAGTTGTAATAAAAGAAATAATAGCATGTAAGTCTGATAAATAACCTTTTTTTTGCGATACTCTAAAAAAAAAAAAAAAAAAAATTGATTAATACGCTTAAATCAAATTAAAGTTTTAATAATCATATTAATTACGTCAATTAAAAACATAAAACATTTGAAAGTTAGCAAAATCATTTGAGACACAAACGAGCGCACTCCCAATCTGATATTTTTTATTTTTTAAAAAAATTTTGTTTTTTTTTTTTTCGTTTGATACGGTATTTTACACTAGATTATCCATTTTGAGCAATTAAAAATCTATTAGAAAGCTTGTAATAAGTTCATGATAAATACGTTATGGATGAAATCTTAAATGTCAAAAATTATCCCGCGTGAAATATTGAACGCAAAATAAACCATAATTATTAAGTCCATCTCTTGTGGCCATTTTTGACTTGTTATTATGATCTCGTCGTTGATTGATTTTCAAATTCGAAAGATGTATTTCAAAATTTGTCGTAAATACTTCGAAATGATAACAAAAATTTCACCCAATGAGTGAAGAAATATAGCCCGTAAATAAGTTAAAAGAAGTAACGATAAAAAAATTCAAAAGAAAAAAAATACTTATTTTGTCACTTTTTCATAGAAAAATGATAGAATGTCACTTTTTTGAGTTTGCCATTTTTTTTATTTTTTTGAATTTTGTTACTTTTTTAAGTGTTTGTCACTTTTTTATTTTCTGTAACTTTTTTAAATTTGTGCAACTTTTTCAATTTGGGTCACTTTTTTGAATTCGTCATTTTTAAAAAAAAAAATTTGTCACTTTTTTTAATGTTTGTCACTTTTTTCGGTTGCCTTATTGATTTTTATCACTTTTTTTTTTTAGACAGACATCACTTTTTTAATAAAAGTAATATTGTATGTTATTGTTTAATAAAAAAGTGATATTTAACTTTTATTAATGACATTATGTATTAAAAGTGACAATTTAAAAAAAAAAATTTGACATTGTGTGACTTTTTAATATCACACGGTATTTTTTACTTTCAAGAAATTTTTCATATGATTTTTGAAAAGATCTAATTTAAAGGTATTTTTCTAAGTTGCCTTTTTTTTTTTAAAAATTTCAAATTTCCTCCATTATTAATTTATTAGCTTGAAAGTTTCTGGGTCCTCACATGTTTTTGGGTTTGTTTTGGGAAGAGGGTAGAAAATTCTTAAGATTTGGTGTTATGTGCTGATTATTATGTAATTCTTAAGATTTGATGGTTTGTTTTATTTCTTATCAATCATTTTGGACAATGATGTACCCAAACTTCAATAAATAGGCGGCATTCATCCAAATGAATAAATTATAACCGTTTTTCGTTATCAACTCAGTTCATTGTAGATTCAAAAGTTAAAAAGTGGCTAAATTCTCATCCCATTATCTTAATTAAAATATTAAAGAAAATGAAATTTTAAAATATAAAACACATGAAAATAACAAAACGCAAAAATTAGTTTATTGTCATTGTTGGTTATATAAATATAATCAACAAATCCAAATCAATTACCTATAATTTTCGCTTTCTAAACTCACTAATTTTTATGCTCAAGAAGATAAATAGCTATTTGAGATGGAGATATTTAAATTGTATGCGTTTATTCTTAAAATAAGGAGGTATTTATAGATTCCTCTTCAAGCTTTGGGATAGTTTAGGGGCTATTCTCTTTGATGTTTTCTGTTTTCGATTTTTCAAAATAGTAAAAATGTGTTCTCTTTCACATTTTCGAAAATGCGTTTTCCAAAACAAAAATAAATTTGTGAAGAAAACACAAAAGGTCGTTTTGAGTGTTTTCGATTGAAAATACTAAAAACACGTCCAAAACCCAAAACAGGAGAGAGAGAAAAAATTGGATGGCCGTAAGACTTCCATCTTCATTCTCTCTATTGGGCCATCTCCTTTTTCTCCCTTCTTAACAGCAACAATGAAGGAGTGGTTGATGTGGTGGCACCAGTGCTGGCGCCGGTATGGGGAGGCGACGCTGTTCCAAACCACAGCAGCGTCATGACCTATTCGTCACTCGCGACGCTGCTGTGGTTGGGCCCGACGTTTGCAACACGGCGATGGGTAATGGGTATTGAAGGTGGTGGTGATTTGGTTTCTTCTCTCTCTCTCACTGTTGGGGTTCTTTGGTTTTGGTTGATGGTGGTAGCGATTTTGGTTTTCGTTGATGGTTGTGTCGGCAGTCGATTTGTGGTGGTAATTGGTTGTGGTGGTGACTGGTTGGCAATGGTGATTCTAGTCGTGGAGGCTTTGTGGTGGAGTTGTGGTGGTTTTCTGAAGAAAATGTTATAAAAATTTATTCTCAAAATTTACAAGTAAACGCATTTTCAATTTCGTGCTTTGAGAAATGATTTTCTAAAATGACAAAAAAGGACGTGTTTTGCAACAATCTCAAAATGAACACTCAAAACACAAAGCCCAAAATGAATTCGAATTTCAAAATTACAAAACTCAAACATGAAGAGAATAGCCCCTTAGTCTTTTTAGGAGAATGACAGATAGTAGCAGCTCCTTATTGGCTATCTTCTAATAGATTCGGTTGAGAATCACACTTTTCATTTGCTCATGTGTCCTTTATTGATAGCTTGTAGCCATTTTGAATACGAAAAATGGTTCGTAATCTTTAGGTGAGCCTTTCGTTTCTTCGTTCTCTTCGTGTGTCACTTTTCACTTCGCCAATAGCTAGCTAAGTTCGCAAACTTCATTTCCAGGTTTAACAATCATATTCTTCCCTCACTATCCACCATCCCTAATAGCTCTAACACCACAATACTGCTACCACTAGATCAAAGGGATTCTCCCACCGTTGATTATGGGAAGATCGAAGATGGAGAAACCCCTCCGCTTTTATGCATACCAAATTCGTAGATGTAGTATGATGAAGAAACATCGGGTATTCAATCTATTTGTAGGTTCACACAAGGGCGAATTCGATGGTAGCCAAAAACTGAATTCCTAGCCCTACCTTTTCTGGGTGCACACTATGAGTGAACACGATTTGGTTTGGATGATTTGTAAGTTTTCTGGA